ATATATATATATATATATATATATATATATATATATATATATATATATATATATATATATATATATATATATATATATATATATATATATATATATACTTTTATATATTGAAAAAGTTATAGCACCAATTTATTATCTTTTTAAAAAAAAATTATTTTATTTTATTATATTTTAAAAACAAATGCAATTACCATATCTGTACCGGTACTAAGACACCTGTATCCGACTAGTTTCAAACTAAAGTTGATGTATACTAGTGTGTCATTTCTGAGTAGAATAAAATATACACGTCAAAAAAGATGGGGGGACAAAAATTTAAAACAAGGGTTACGCTCCAGTGGTAAACAATCACAAAAATGGAACTTTCTTTATTTAACGGTATTTCCACAGATAATTTCCCGCATACAATTGCTCCGTCCCAATTCTCAGCACTACACAAGGTTCATTTTCTTGCGCATAGAACATATCTCTCTAGAGCATGGCTCATTAGAGGACAACAGACACCCTGAAAATTGAGCATTGAAATGTCATTACTCTAAAACAAAACAAAAAATCTATTGCAAATAACACTACTCAGAATTTCGATAGAGTCTAATTCAATTCCACAAAACCAAATAATAAGATGAAGATTGCCCATACAAGCATTAGCTTAGTCATATGAGTGGTTGATGAGAGATCTTCACACACTCCATTCCGTCCATATGGACGTCTAAAGTGTGAAGCCTGCAAGCAAGCCCTCTCACCCTCAAATAATAATACAATACACACAATGACAAACAGAAGTAAATAGACATTCATTTATTTACCATTGTAGGACAAAAACTGGGGCTGCTGAACTCAAATCCCAGTAGCAGGTCTTCGTTTCACAACCAGATCATCAGCTGAATAGTAATCAGCAATGAGCCGGTACATGTATGATGGGTTATGCCCTCCTCTGAGAAGAAGTAATTTCCAAACCACCAGAAAAAGCAGAGAAAGAAACCAATTAGCACACATTTTCAAATGTCAATGACTACCGAGAAAAGCTAGTTTTCTATCAGTTACAGTCCAACTTACGTGTCAGTAATAAAGAGACTAACAAGTTTTGGTGGCACATAATCGAATGTTGGGTTTACGACATGAAGAGAACCTCCACCACTTGCAGAATCCATGCAATCCGAGAACTCCCCAAAATCAAGTAGCTCAGACGGGGATCTCAGCTCATTTAATAGGACTTCAGGATTGTGTGGATACAGAGGACACAACTGTCAATAAGATAAAGCAACATTCAACAAAAGCTTAACATTTGGTAACTGTTACGAGGAACCAGATCAAAAATTTCACTTCTATTCTTTATCAACCGTTTGTTCTTTCTTAATTTTTCAATAAAATGGTTCTTTCTTTAGAATTCAATTCCTTGGGTACCTAACAGCCACATATTCATATAAACAAATTAAAAACAACACCTTGATTAAATATTTTTTCGGATATTTCAGTTTCCAAAATTTTAATTTATGTGGAAAAAACATGTTGAATTTTTTGCTTCCCACGGATTTGGTAAATTATAATCCGATTTCCATATTTAACAGAACAAAACTAATCATGAGAAGATTTGGCTAACTATAACTGTGAGGTAGATTTGGATTATAAGTTAGCATATTTCACCTTGTGACTTCCAGCAAGTACAACAAAAGGAACAGCATGCCTTTGAGCTGCAAGTGCAACCATATTTAATCCAACTGGGGCAATGACTCCACCATTAGCCATGACAGCATGAGCTCCAACTATAACCTGTATAATGGCAGGATTGTTACATAAGGTCATTCAGAAATAACTCCACCATTTACCATGTCAGTTGGTAAGTTGAAATCACATTAAATTTTGCATAAGAGTCTTGACTCCAAAAAGAATGGCATTTTAGCATACCATGTTCACTCGGGAAATCATGGCAAAAACTGCAGAATCAGTAATCACTGTGGTCTGTAAGCCTCTAGCAGCCAATTCTTTTGCAAGGAGATGTCCCTGATATCTGATTGCATGCAATGACAAACATTAAATTGTCATATGAATAGTATAAAGAAATCCATTTCTAATTGAACATCACCATCCACTGGAAATGTGAGACGGCCTCTACTACCAACCTTGGGGCACCTTCGGCAACGAAGACCTTAAATGATCTCTTTTTCTCCTTTGCAGCACAAAGAAATTCCAACACTGTCTTTGAACTTCCTAGCGTTAATATTACCTCACTGAAAATCATGGAAATAAAGTGAAAACAAATAAGAAAAAGAATTATAAATTCTTCTAAAAAATTAAATAAAGAAAAAGATCATCTATTCCTATCTAAAAAATGCAAATATGTACAAATATCCATACAAGCCCGTCAGAGTCACTAACCAATCTTGCCCACGTTGAGCAGGTATAAAATGTTTTCAAACAAACAAGCACTTTAAAACAGGCAAAATATAAACACACGTGTCTTAGAGTAGATTAAGGAGAAACCAACTTTTGATGAATGTGCTCTACTGCTTGTTCAGCTATTTGTTCATAGCAAGTAGATATGTCTTGAATAAGTTCATTAACTGCTTCAATGACATCATGCTTCAACTTCCGACCTCTTGAACTCTTATCAATAGCTGAAACAAAGGGATAAAATGAGGAAAAGGATCGCCACAAACGGGAAGGAATGGATAAAAAACAATAATCATAGTGATCAACAATTAAAGTTTAAAGTATATAGCAATGATAATGAAGCATTCTGATGTCTTTAGAAAAAATGAGGAAACTTATTACATCTAAGCATTAATTTTATCCAATAAAGTTATATATATTAAAAACAAAAACTTGCCTTAGTGAGAATTTCCGCAAGTAAAAGCCTAAATAAAAAGAAGAAGAAATAGGTTCTTCATTGAATATCAAGTAAAAACACAAGCATGTGATTCCCTTCAGATCAAGTTAGAAGGCAAAAAAGAAAAGAAAAATACAACATGGTCAACAATATTATAAAAACTTATTTTATAACACTCTTAATCTTAATAGCGTGGTGCCATACTCACATCTACTTTTCCCTTCAGAATCACCCCCTGAAGAAGATGTGTGTGGAATGGCAGCTGTAACAGGTGTATCCTCTAGAAGAGTTTGCAGGGATGGTGGACGCAAGGTGCTTCTTGCAGCAGCTGCAACAGCAGCAGCAGATAAAACAGGATAATCATCTCGATCCACATCATCGTCATCGTCGCTTACTGCTGATAGCTCCAAACCAGCTATAGCAGCTGTGGCAAGGGAAAGATCCTCCTCCCTTATAATGTGCAAAACTCGCCTCGCAATATTTCCCACAGCAAGCTCTACAATTGCATGCATAACATTTTATGATAGTCAAACAATAAATCAATCTCCATTACCCACAAACCACAATAAACCATTATGCATGACAATGTAACCATAAAACATCATTCCTCAAAAGTAAAACTAAGCATAGAGATAGTTTGGATAAACTTCTCCATGAAAACTCATGAACAAAAAATATTGACAAAATCTTGCAATAACTATATGAGCATTTTAAAGAAAGCTACTTGTATAATCTGAAACTAGCTTTGGCATCTTATTCTTTAAAAAATTCTCTTATTTAATGATAGAATCAACTGGTATTTAAGGGAGAAGAGTGAAAAAACAACAGGAGGTCAGAAATTTCTAGTTAATCCCTCAGATCAATATGATCTTGAGCAATGAATGAGAGTACAATTTTTAGGGCTCACTTGAGAGTGCATGACCTCTCTTTGTTCTGTCTATCTGTCTAAAAATTAATCCAACCCCCTCCCTTCTGTCTATTCAGTATACACTTATAACCGTTCCATAAACACTTATAAGCTTGTAAATTTTCTATCATAGGTAAAGAAACCATAGTAAATATACTTCAATTGAAAATCAATTCAAACTCAGGCAATCATGCAGCAATAACCCAAAAATACATACTTGACTTCCCTAAAGACTGAACACAACACAGACGTAATGCATATTTGTAGTTTAAAAATAAGTAAAATCTACATCTCAGCATACCAACAGGATTAGCAGCGATAAGCTTCTCCCCCACAGCCCTTACTGCATTAATCAGAGTTGTGGCCTGATTTGTTTGAGGCAACCTCTGTTGTGAAATCACAGACCGAAGCAACTCTGCTGTTTGCTTTGCCGTGGCCTGAGAACCTTCAATTTTACTAGCATCAATAAATAAATAAATAAATAAATAAATAAATAAATAAATAAATAACAAAAACAACAAACACAGAAAAGCACAACAAAATATCAGTTCCCAAACCTCAAAAGTTCCTAATACACAATTCACTAAACTAAAACAATTTACCGTTTTTTAAGCTGATTCACAAAATCATTAACAAGCATATGAACATCCGGCATTTTGGTCCAACCTGAAAAAGGGGGCAAAAAGTATCTTATGTAAATAAAATTAAAAGGGTAAATAGCATTACAAAGCCAAGTGTCTTTGATTTGTGAGTTGACACGTACACGTACATATGTAAATATGCATACACATATATGAATATATATCTTCATCGAGTAACTAGGTCCATATTTCCACACAAATTCAAGTTATCATTAAACAAATATTACGTATCTTAAGCTTATTCATATCTACCTATAAAATACCATTCCAACAAGTCCAAAAAATTTCACTTACATTTTCTAAGGTTTTTCTACAAAAAAATGTCAAGTTTCTTCCGTTTTTACGACGTTTCCAAAAATTTATCTGCTTAATTTACACATCCATAACAGTGCAAATAAACAAAAATCTCCCCACTTCTAAAAGGTGTCAAAAGATTTGACTCTTTTCAAACCTCAAAGAGTCTAACTTTTTTTCTCAATAAACTTATTCACATTCTAAAATTAATTTGAGTTAAACTACACTAAAGGTATACAAGCTCATCAATTAATTCTTCAAACTAACACAAACTGAGATCTTAAATTATAACTTGACAATTCTAATAAACACCAAGTGACTATATCTATTCTTTAAGCCAAAGCTCAAGTCGATTTAATTGTGACAGTTCTCACATTATTCAACTATTACAACTAACTCTAAAACTTTGAGTAGAAAATCACCTAAGGGCCAAATAATTTAGAGATTCTAATATATTCAATCTTACTCTAATCACAACTTCAAATTTTCTTACATCAACTTCCAACTTATTGCACGAGGAAGATATGATCTTAGTGAAATCTGACAAGTAAATAAGTACCTCCTATTAGAGTATCTACTCCAGAGCACAGCAGCTAGTTTAGACGACCGGTTGGGATCTTCACCCTATAATTATCTAACTAACTCAAGTCAATTAGTTAGAGTTAGCGCCAAAGTCAGCTGCCTATGTAAGGAGCTTCCCTGTAATGGTTAAGAGACATTCATTTTATTTTACAATACAGCGCAATGATTCAGATTTTGTTGCCTCAACTATCTTTCTTCAGTTTCTATGACTTAATATATATAATACCTCAAAAACCAAATCATTTCAACACCACA